CAAAACCCCAAAACCCCAAAACCCCAAAACCCCAAAACCCCAAAACCCCTATGAACTTATAATTTATTGGATGATTGGGATAAATGAAATTAAAGTTTTAGTGCAAAATTTAACCTTAAGTCGATTTCAATTAAAGAATGCTTTTAAAAGAATTTTTGAATAGCTTACTTGCTTTTAGAAACTTAGACTTCTGCTTTGTCTTAAATAGAGTAAATACAGAATCTAACACTGGTAAATTTCAAAGTTATTCTTGTAATACATCAACTGACTTGAAATAAATTTGCTTTCAGCATACCTTGGATAAAAATCTAGTGTCCCTTTAGTCAACTTTTTCATCTCCATTCTGATTCCTTTTATCATTCGTTCTCTTCTCTCTGTCAAGGTAACTAAGTCTGTTGAGAGTTGCTTATTATTTTCATTCAACGGAGCATCTTTAAGTTCCTTATTTTACATTAAGAAGTTTGTCTGATATGACTTCCTTTCGGCTGATGAGATCCTGGACTGATTCAATCCAGACAAGGTGACTCTCAATGGCATATAGCAATTCCTTAAGCTCAACTAAATTCGTCGAGGCTTCTTTTCCTCTATCATCAGCTATTTTTGAATTATCTGAGATTATCTGCTGAAGTTCCTGTGCATTAGTCGACTTGATCAAAGACATAAAGTGGGATAATTCTCTTTCTATCTTTCAGTCATTTGACCTCTTATCATAAGTATTCGTGACAAGTTTGTAAAACTCTATGAAACTCTTATGAAGCATGTCCAGTCTTTCAGAATATTTCTTGATCAATTTGTCATTAGCATCAAATCCATCCTCTGAATTTGCAATTAAATTCTTAAGAGTGGGAACTATGTTCTTGCTTATCTCGTTTGCCTTGGAAATGACACTCCCAAAGGAATTGCTAGCAGCTGAAAACCAACCCTTGGACTTCTGAGAAGTTGAACTGTTTAGCTCCTCTTCGATCTTCTTGAGATTTTCAATGGTAGCTTTAAACGCCTGGTCGCTTTCAGCTAGGAATCCTTTTAGGTACTGTGACTGCTTAAGTTGCCTATGAGATCTGACTATAGTTAGGAAATGCTTCATTTTCCTCATTCTTTCCTGAATGAAATCGGACTTATGTCCTGAAGCTTTCTCAAAAATTGTCTTCTCTGGCAAGACTGGTACTGCCCAGTTCTCATACTCTTTGAGTAGCATCTCTCTGAGCCATTCAAAATGGCTATATCTCCTTCTAACTTCAGTATCACAGTTGTGTGCAGCTCACCAAATAGTTTTGATCTTGTATTGTCTATGGGCCATTGGCTTGGTCCAAGAGCTTGAGGAGTGCCAAGTAGGCTCGCTTAAGAAGAGCTCTTTGATTTCATCATATCCCACTTCTTGAGTTGTTAAGCAGTACTCAGATTGAGTATCTAAAGCATCTCCGAATAGATTCTTCATTTTAGGATTTAAGGTATTTGAGAAGTCTCTACTATTGAGGGCTTGGATATCTTCCTCTGCTATTCTAGAGATGAATAGGTTTTCATCTTTCTTCTCTTCTTCAGCCTTGGGAGGCTCATGGGATGGGCTTTCAGACTTATTGTCTTGCTGCTTTTGCCCCTCTTCCATATAACTGTCATTTATGACCAAAAGGCATTTATTATCTTCAGGTGGTTCTTGGGACTCTTCTTGGAGTGAAGGTACTTCGTTATTTTCTTTGATAGGCACTGATTGTGTGATGCTGCTTTGGAGACTTTGAAGTTCTTCTTTGTCAGCAAAAATCATTGACTCGTTTAAAGGTATTTCCCCAAACTCTTCGGATCCTTCCTCAGAAACATCAACTTCGCTTCCTAAAAGATCACTATTATTCGCCCCAAATGCCCTGTTTCCCTCACCGCTTTAGCCAACTACAGCGATCTAGTGGCTTATTCATTCAAATTATTAAGCAATGCAAGTACTTATGTAGTACCATCGAACTCTACGAGGAGGAACAGCCTTCCTCCATCCTTTGAGTTAAAGAAGGGATCAAGCAAAAATGTTCTGGTCTTTAGTGAAAGAAATTTCATTTGATGAGTTTATGGGTATCAAAAGAAGTTGCTTCATAAAACAAGAAATTAAGTCAGATAATCATTAGAAATTGATAGATAAAAACGAAGAGATAGATGCCAAATAAGGGCACTAAAACCCTCCAACCCACAACCCTCTCACACCACTCCTACACACCATCCCCATCCACCCCCAACCCCCAAATCCCTTCTATCCCCTCCTCTTCCTAAACCGATCACCCACACCCCTCTAATCCTCCACCCCTTCAGCCCCTCCTAAGCCACCTACCATTCCTTCAGCTGCAGAAATAGGTAAATTCATGCATGAAAGTAAAAAATTGTATAAGCTCAAAGAGCGGTTTTGGTCGGTACAGATTGTTGAATTAGGTTACTAATCTAATACGAATTGCTCCACTTTAGAAAATTCGATAGAATTCTGAAACAAGAACCCTCTGGTTATATAATTTTAATACATATATTATTCCCAAAGATTACCTGACTCTTCCTGCGAATTCATAATTTATCTTATAAATTTATAACTCAATTATAATCTTGTCTAAAGGGGTTTTGGGGTTTTGGGGTTTTGGGGTTTTGGGGTTTTGGGG